TCTCCCTCTCTAGCTCTCTACATCCCTGTCTCCCTCTCTAGCTCTCTACATCCCTGTCTCCCTCTCTAGCTCTCTACATCCCTGTCTCCCTCTCTAGCTCTCTACATCCCTGTCTCCCTCTCTAGCTCTCTACATCCCTGTCTCCCTCTCTAGCTCTCTACATCCCTGTCTCCCTCTCTAGCTCTCTACATCCCTGTCTCCCTCTCTAGCTCTCTACATCCCTGTCTCCCTCTCTAGCTCTCTAGCTCCCTGTCTCCCTCTCTAGCTCTCTACATCCCTGTCTCCCTCTCTAGATCCCTGTCTCCCTCTCTAGCTCCCTGTCTCCCTCTCTAGCTCTCTACATCCCTGTCTCCCTCTCTAGCTCTCTACATCCCTGTCTCCCTCTCTAGCTCTCTACATCCCTGTCTCCCTCTCTAGCTCTCTACATCCCTGTCTCCCTCTCTAGCTCTCTACATCCCTGTCTCCCTCTCTAGCTCTCTACATCCCTGTCTCCCTCTCTAGCTCTCTACATCCCTGTCTCCCTCTCTAGCTCTCTACATCCCTGTCTCCCTCTCTAGCTCTCTACATCCCTGTCTCCCTCTCTAGCTCTCTACATCCCTGTCTCCCTCTCTAGCTCTCTACATCCCTGTCTCCCTCTCTAGCTCTCTACATCCCTGTCTCCCTCTCTAGCTCTCTACATCCCTGTCTCCCTCTCTAGCTCTCTACATCCCTGTCTCCCTCTCTAGCTCTCTACATCCCTGTCTCCCTCTCTAGATCCCTGTCTCCCTCTCTAGCTCCCTGTCTCCCTCTCTAGCTCTCTACATCCCTGTCTCCCTCTCTAGCTCTCTACATCCCTGTCTCCCTCTCTAGCTCTCTACATCCCTGTCTCTCTCTCTAGCTCTCTACATCCCTGTCTCCCTCTCTAGCTCTCTACATCCCTGTCTCCCTCTCTAGCTCTCTACATCCCTGTCTCCCTCTCTAGCTCTCTACATCCCTGTCTCTCTCTCTAGCTCTCTACATCCCTGTCTCCCTCTCTAGCTCTCTACATCCCTGTCTCCCTCTCTAGCTCTCTACATCCCTGTCTCCCTCTCTAGCTCTCTACATCCCTGTCTCCCTCTCTACATCCCTGTCTCCCTCTCTAGCTCTCTACATCCCTGTCTCCCTCTCTAGCTCTCTACATCCCTGTCTCCCTCCTAGTCTGTCTCCCTCTCTAGCTCTCTACATCCCTGTCTCCCTCCTCTAGCTCTCTACATCCCTGTCTCCCTCTCTAGCTCTCTACATCCCTGTCTCCCTCTCTAGCTCTCTACATCCCTGTCTCCCTCTCTAGCTCTCTACATCCCTGTCTCCCTCTCTAGCTCTCTACATCCCTGTCTCCCTCTCTAGCTCTCTACATCCCTGTCTCCCTCTCTAGCTCTCTACATCCCTGTCTCCCTCTCTAGCTCTCTACATCCCTGTCTCCCTCTCTAGCTCTCTACATCCCTGTCTCCCTCTCTAGCTCTCTACATCCCTGTCTCTCTCTAGCTCTCTACATCCCTGTCTCCCTCTCTAGCTCTCTAGCTCTCTACATCCCTGTCTCCCTCTCTAGCTCTCTACATCCCTGTCTCCCTCTCTAGCTCTCTACATCCCTGTCTCCCTCCTAGCTCTCTAGCTCTCTCTACATCCCTGTCTCCCTCTCTAGCTCTCTACATCCCTGTCTCCCTCTCTAGCTCTCTACATCCCTGTCTCCCTCTCTAGCTCTCTACATCCCTGTCTCCCTCTCTAGCTCTCTACATCCCTGTCTCCCTCTCTAGCTCTCTACATCCCTGTCTCCCTCTCTAGCTCTCTACATCCCTGTCTCCCTCTCTAGCTCTCTACATCCCTGTCTCCCTCTCTAGCTCTCTACATCCCTGTCTCCCTCTCTAGCTCTCTACATCCCTGTCTCCCTCTCTAGCTCTCTACATCCCTGTCTCCCTCTCTAGCTCTCTACATCCCTGTCTCCCTCTCTAGCTCTCTACATCCCTGTCTCCCTCTCTAGCTCTCTACATCCCTGTCTCCCTCTCTAGCTCTCTACATCCCTGTCTCCCTCTCTAGCTCTCTACATCCCTGTCTCCCTCTCTAGCTCTCTACATCCCTGTCTCCCTCTCTAGCTCTCTACATCCCTGTCTCCCTCTCTAGCTCTCTACATCCCTGTCTCCCTCTCTAGCTCTCTACATCCCTGTCTCCCTCTCTAGCTCTCTACATCCCTGTCTCCCTCTCTAGCTCTCTACATCCCTGTCTCCCTCCCTAGCTCTCTACATCCCTGTCTCCCTCTCTAGCTCTCTACATCCCTGTCTCCCTCTCTAGCTCTCTACATCCCTGTCTCCCTCTCTAGCTCTCTACATCCCTGTCTCCCTCTCTCTCTCTCTCTCTCTCCCCTCAGCACACAACATAAGCCCAGCGCCCCTACCCCTCGGCGGATCATAGTGGCACACGCCCACTAGCAAAACATGTTCCACCACCTGACACCAAACATATTGTTATAGATTCAGCTACTCGGAACAAGTTCCAAGTAGCACGGGCTATGGTGAGCCCATAGTGGACCTGCCCCGCTCCTGTGCCAGGTTAGTAGCATAGGCTATGGTGAGCCCGTAGTGGACTTACCTGGCACAGGAGCGGGACAAGTAGCACGGGCTATGGTGAGCCCATAGTGGACCTGCCCCGCTCCTGTGCCAGGTTAGTAGCATAGGCTATGGTGAGCCCGTAGTGGACTTACCTGGCACAGGAGCGGGGCAAGTAGCACGGGCTATGGTGAGCAGGTAGTGGACTTACCTGGCACAGGAGCGGGGCAAGTAGCACGGGCTATGGTGAGCAGGTAGTGGACTTACCTGGCACAGGAGCGGGGCACGTAGCACGGGCTATGGTGAGCCCCTAGTGGACTTACCTGGCACAGGAGCGGTGCTGTATAGGGACACCAAGCAGGAGGGTGAGCCATTTGTAGCTCACCTGTCCTAAACCTGACCCACCACAAGGTTCCACCAATCATCAACCTCCTAAATTTAGCACAGTGTTCTGAGGTCCTGGGAGCGTAGCACACGGTAAGTGGAAGATGTAATTCCCGTTTCTTGGAAGTAATTGAAGTTAATGTAGAATGATGACTCCCTTGGGGGCAATTGTAATTGCTAACAATGCTAATGTGTAGGAAAATAGGAAGATAAATGAGAGGAGGGAGGTGAGTAGGAGGAGTAAGAGCAGGAGGAGGAGAACAGGGAAAATATAAAAATAAGTAAACTTGAGTTTGCATGTGATGTAAACAGTCTACATACTGAAGAGGTGATAAAGATTTACCTACTAAACTGATGTTTATTATGAAACAAAGATGTTCCTACTAAACTGCAAGACAAGAGCTACTATTCTTCAGCAGCTGACCTCAAGCCTGACCTTAGATAACCATTCATTTTATGATTATTTCTCAACCCGTCGTCAAGACAAAGGACTGAGAGGTTCACGACGCATAAGACAAACACTGACTACAAAAACTCTCCACAAGTCAGTATTTGGACTTAAAGTCCACCAAGCTGTGTTCGAGGCTATGTCTCACAGTGCCTATTTCCATCAGTAAAAAACTTTATTTAGAACTAAGTTACAATTATGTTAGTGGCAGGAGGACGCTGGAGCCAACTGCGTACCTAAGCCTACTTGTGGTCGGTTGACAGGAGTTCACGTGCACCTGTCTTTTGAGCAGACAGTTCCAGACGGGAGTCGAGCTATGAATGGATGAATATGTGTACAGCCAGTATGGGGTGGTTGATGGGGCCATACTCAAGAACACCTCATCGCTATCCGTCATTTATTCCTAAGCTGACTCGCATTTGGAGCATGTTATTGTGTATGTGTATATGTACTCGCCTAGTTGTGCTTGCGGGGCTCTTTGGTCCCGCCTCTCAACTGTCAATCAACTGGTGTACAGATTCCCGAGCCTACTGGGCTCTATCATATCTGCTTTTGAAACTATGTATGGAGTCAGCCTCCACCACATCACTGCCTAATGCATTCCATCTGTTAACTACTCTGACACTGAAAAAGTTCTTTGTGACGTCCCAGTGGCTCATTTGGGTACTCAGTTTCCACCTGAATCCCCTTGTTCGCGTACCACCCGTGTTAAACAGTTTATCCTTAACGACCCTGTCAATTCCCCTGAGAGTTTTGTAGGTAGTGATAATGTCTCCACTTACTCTTCTGTCTTCCAGTGTCGTAAGGTGCATTTCACGCAGCCTTTCCTCGTAACTCATGCCTCATAGTTTTGTGTTAGTTCTTAGTTCACACACACACGTGTGTGTGTATGTGTGTGTGTACTCACCTAGTTGTACTCACCTAGTTGTGTCTGCAGGATCGAGCATTGACTCTTGGATCCCGCCTTTCGAGCATCGGTTGTTTACAGCAATGACTCCTGTCCTATTTCCCTATCATACCTGGTTTTAAAATTATGAATAGTATTTGCTTCCACAACCTGTTCCTGAAGTGCATTCCATTTCCCCACTACTCTCACGCTAAAAGAAAACTTCCTAACATCTCTGTGACTCATCTGAGTTTCAAGCTTCCATCCATGTCCTCTCGTTCTGTTACTATTCCGTGTGAACATTTCGTCTATGTCCACTCTGTCAATTCCTCTGAGTATCTTATACGTTCCTATCATGTCCCCCCTCTCCCTTCTTCTTTCTAGTGTCGTAAGGCACAATTCCCTCAGGCGCTCTTCATACCCCATCCCTCGTAGCTCTGGGACGAGTCTCGTTGCAAACCTCTGAACCTTTTCCAGTTTCATTATATGTTTCTTCAGATGGGGACTCCATGATGAGGCGGCATACTCTAAGACTGGCCTTACGTAGGCAGTGTAAAGCGCCCTAAATGCCTCCTTACTTAGGTTTCTGAATGATGTTCTAACTTTTGCCAGTGTAGAGTACGCTGTGTGTGTGTGTGTGTGTGTGTGTGTGTGTGTGTGTGTGTGTGTGTGTGTGTGTGTGTGTGTGTGTGTGTGTGTGTGTGTACTCACCCACCTAGGTACTCACCTCTTGGCGCGCACGTGGGTGGAGACCGAGCAGGTGGACTCGTTGTCTGAAAGGGTGGAACAGGCGGAGGGCGGTCGACTGGTGTCACGGGCGGCCTGGACAGGGTCAACTTCCTTCAGCATCTTCTCCTCCTCGTCCCCGCTTCCTCCGCCCCGTGACCTCTGCCGACCAAGACGAACCAGTGACCGGACCGCCTTCATCCCGACGAAGCCTCGACTGTGGACGAGAAGATCATTGTAACGGTCAGAAATCTATTATTATTACAAGTCAGACCTGTCTATTAGGACCTCAAAGTCAGTAACTCAGTACCCGAGTTACTGAGGCACTCAGTCACTCACTGAGACACTCACCAATCCGTGGCCCTCCCCCAGGAGAGAGAGTGCCAGGCAGGCATCCTATTCTCTACTGAACGAGGTGACAGGTAGCCGAAATTGTGACCCCAGGACTCGATATTCAATGGTAACGAGGGCGCTAATGTATTAGTTGATAAGAGAGGTCGTTAGTGCTATAGTTATTCTGATAAGCCTGTATTCTCTGTGACTACCTATCAGTGACTACCTAAGAGTGACTTCAGGGGGGGGGCCGAGCTCTAGCTCTATGCCCCCTGTTTATACCTGGCATGCTTTCCTGAACATTAACGTTTTCATCATATTATATATATATATATATATATATATATATATATATATATATATATATATATATATATATATATATATATATATATATATATATATACATATATAATATATATATATATATATATATATTTGTTTTAAAGTTGTGGATGGAATTGGCTTTAACCTCCTCTTGGTTGAGTGCATTCCACTTACCTTCTACACCTACAGGGAACATTCCACTTACCTTCTACACCTACAGGGAACGAGAGCTTCCCTACATCTCTACGTCTCAACTGTGTCCAGTTTCCAACAATGTCCCCACAGCTTCCACCTGTGTCCTCTTGTTCGCGTACCACCCGTATTAAACAGTTTATCCTTATCTACCCTGTCAATTCCCCTGAGAATTTTGTAGGTAGTGATCATTTCTCCCCTTATTCTTCTGTCTTCCAGTGTCGTGAGAGGAATTTCCCACAGCCTTTCCTCGTAACTCATGCCTCTTAGTTCTGGGACTAGCCTAGTGGCATACCTCTGAACTTTTTCAAGCTTCGTCTTGTGCTTAACAATGTACGGGCTCCATGCTGGGGCCGCATACTCCAGGATTGGTCTTACGTATGTGGTATACAGCGTTCTGAATGTGTGTGTGTGTGTGTGTGTGTGTGTGTGTGTGTGTGTGTGTGTGTGTGTGTGTGTGTGTGTGTGTGTGTGCGCGCGCGCGCGCGTTCGAGCGTATTCCAAGAAGATACAAATACATTCTCCTTCAGTACCAGCACGAAAAACTTTGAACAGATAATTGTATACAAAAATAAACCCCCCCACAGACATAAACAAGGCCAACAAATGAAGGTATAACGGACCGACTTGTAACAAGAAGTCGGCAGCTAATTCTCCCCCCACACAACTGCAAGGCGAATAATGCATTTATCAGTTTTTGTACCAAAGTGCTCGGGCGGTGTCACGCAAGCCCCGTTGTTGGCACGCCTCCACCCTGAAGGGGGCGAGGCTACACCTGTCACCCCTGCACGTAACTGTACAACAGGTGCGGATACAACAGGTAGGGAATACAACAGGTAGGGGGATACAACAGGTGATTTACAAACGTAAATCAACGTTTATTTACAATCTTCAACAGGGGCGGATACAACAGGTAGGGAATACAACAGGTAGGGAATTCAACAGGTAGGGGGATACAACAGGTGATTTACAAACGTAAATCAACGTTTATTTACAATCTTAACGTACAAGGGTGCTCGCGACGCCCCAGCCACCTGAACATGTGGTTCACTCGTCGACTTCATCATCTTAATACTTCATACAAAACCACTTTCAAAAGCGGTTCCCTAACACTGCCAGTTGCAAGGGAATGCCCAGGATAATGCCGTAGCATGCACAATCGGCAACAATAATGACCTGTCAGGTTGACAGGCCAATACAAAATGCACATATATATATCTAAATATGTTTTGTAACATACATATTCACTCTGGCGGTTGAACAACGTGGTACCACACAGATAATCACTTTGTTCACCGTCTGTCTGTCTCCAAACTCAGCCTCTTATGTGTTGCAGGTGTGTAGTGAGGCGAGTAGATATGTGGCTGATCGTCGCGACGATAGACAACTTAACTAAGATAGAAAGTATCGCTAAGTTACTCTAAGTTCACTAAGACAAAGTACTCGCAGAAACACGAGCCTAACACTTACACTTACTACCTCATTCCCTCATTCACGCATCTCACAGTAGGTGTGAACGACTGGTTTTCGATCGTTGGTCTCGTAGCCGTCATCCTGGTCCTCTCTACAACGACCGCACGTGACATCTGTGTAGACCCCCACACACACGTGGTAGCCAAGCGAGGCAGACACGCTTCCAGGAGTTGGTTTAAGTAGCGCGCGAGCTGTACTCGGAATGCTGAGTGTGGGGGCGCATGGATGCCAGGCTGGCGGCGGGGCGCCACGCTGGACTTGGTACACAAGGGCTGCTGGCTGGCTGGCTGGTTTAACACGTAGTTTGGTAATTCACTGGTTCAGAGTGCCGGCTATAGTTCTTGGTTCTTTTCTTCTGACTGATGAAGGTTAAGCTACCAGGGGCCAGATTCACGAAAGTACTTACGCAAGTACTTACGAACGTGTACATCTTTCCTCAATCTTTGGCGGCTTTGGTTACAATTATTAAACAGTTTACAAGCATGAAAACTTGCCAATCAACTGTTGTTATTGTTATAAACAGCCTCCTGGTGCTTCGCAGCTTATTAACCGTTTAATAATTGTAAACAAAGCCGCCAAAGATTGAGAAAAAGATGTACAGGTTCGTAAGTGCTTGCGTAACTTCTTCGTCAATCTGGCTCCAGGAGGTGTGACACGGGCATGAGTAGCCCCGTAGGTGTGATAGATGTTTGGAGTGAATGTGATCTTTGGTCGTGTAACATCATTAAGTGTCTCAGGGTCTCTGTCTTCCTTCTCTCGTTTAAAGGCATTTCACCTTCAGATTACCTGCGGAGGCGTTTGGGATCGCAATGTTCACTCGACCCTTCTCTGTATTCAGTAACTATTCCGATGACTGAGTTACTAAGCGATCAAAGGGTCACACACTTCTCGCACTCCTGTTGCATCAGGAGGCTGTCCTCGTGCCTACTCTTATACACACTAGCTAATTCCCGGAATTAATTACGAGTTCTTGCAAGCGGGCGGGATTCCAGCCGCTTGCAAGAACTTTCGACGAATTTAGGCAATAAACTATTCGAAGTCAGTAGTGGGATGTCGAGAGACCATTTTCTCACAATAGAGCAGTGTGAAAAGTGTTTAAGGTAATATGTTATATTTTACACATTATATATATCTAAGCAGGATACGGCTAACATGTACTGAATAACTAGGCTTCCTGTCACCCGATATAATGAATTATAAATTATATTACGCGTCAGAAAACGAGAAAACGAGTTTAAGAAATTAAAGAAAATGCTAATTGCAGAAGATGGGAGCCACCATTCACTAGGAGAAACAATTCTAATATGCGTGAGCTTCATAAAAAAAAAACGTGTCGGTGGTCGCGATAACGAGGTGAACTCTAGGAAAAAACAAAGGTGTGTGTTGTGTCTGATGGGAGAGAGACACGCACTTAGCGCTTACCTTGGAAGAGGTAGTGAGGAGGAACAAGAAGGTGGGGGAAAGGGGGAGGGGGTGAGACAGGAGAAAGGAGGAGGAGGAGGAGGGGTGAAAGTTGATAAGGGAGCGTGAATAGGTGAGGGTGAGAGACGCAAATGACACGTACAGGCGAGTTATTCATCAACATGGAAGATGTTGTTTATGATCGTAAGTCTACACCACTTACGTAAACCAAAGACTCTTGCTTCACAACACTCCACAGTTTCTCAGGGTCGGTATTTAATATAAGAAGTTTCACCGACGTCTTCCGTCCTTCCTCACACACATCTTCATAAATCTTGAGCCTATTTCGTCGTTTCTGCAACGCTGGAAGATTCAGGGGTAACCAACCTGACCACCCACTGAAAACGGACCAAGTAACCTTCACCTTCCCAGTACGAGACAACAGTGTCAGTGCCTCACATTCTCTGACCTTGATACGTGACTAGCGTTATATGAATTGTGATTTTAGACTCGTCTCTCTCCATATATTCCTTGTCTGGCGCGCGAGGGCTATGCAGACCCGGGGACCCGACCATGGAGGCTTGTGGGACCTACAGACCCAACCATGGAGGCTTATGGGACCTACAGACCCAACCATGGAGGCTTATGGGACCTACAGACCCAACCATGGAGGCTTGTGGGACCTACACACCCAACCATGGAGGCTTGTGGGACCTACACACCCAACCATGGAGGCTTGTGGGACCTACAGACCCAACCATGGAGGCTTGTGGGACCTACAGACCCAACCATGGAGGCTTGTGGGACCTACAGACCCAACCATGGAAGCTTGTGGGACCTACAGACCCAACCATGGAGGCTTGTGGGACCTACACACCCAACCATGGAGGCTTGTGGGACCTACACACCCAACCATGGAGGCTTGTGGGACCTACACACCCAACCATGGAGGCTTGTGGGACCTACACACCCAACCATGGAGGCTTGTGGGACCTACAGACCCAACCATGGAGGCTTGTGGGACCTACAGACCCAACCATGGAGGCTTGTGGGACCTACAGACCCAACCATGGAGGCTTGTGGGACCTACAGACCCAACCATGGAGGCTTGTGGGACCTACAGACCCAACCATGGAGGCTTGTGGGACCTACAGACCCAACCATGGAGGCTTGTGGGACCTACAGACCCAACCATGGAGGCTTGTGGGACCTACAGACCCAACCATGGAGGCTTGTGGGACCTACAGACCCAACCATGGAGGCTTGTGGGACCTACAGACCCAACCATGGAGGCTTGTGGGACCTACACACCCAACCATGGAGGCTTGTGGGACCTACACACCCAACCATGGAGGCTTGTGGGACCTACACACCCAACCATGGAGGCTTGTGGGACCTACACACCCAACCATGGAGGCTTGTGGGACCTACACACCCAACCATGGAGGCTTATGGGACCTACACACCCAGAGACCCAACCATGGAGGAGCC